TGTCACATATCATCTCATTCAGCCCGACTGGTGAAGCAAAGCTCTCTGAAACGCAATAAATCCTTACAGGAAATTTAAAGATGGATCGTATTAAAACCCGGGGAGAAGCTTGTGTAGTCCCAGCCGTTTGTTATAGTCCTTGAAAAGCGATTTCTGTTGGCCTAAAAGCAAATATCTCCCTTTACTTTGAACGTCGTAACTTTGCAGATGTTGTTTATGCTCAAACAGCAACATTACACACTAACTAAAGTTAATAAAGTTAAATCATAATCAACCCCTTTAAGCGCAATAAGAACTTCATGTGCTTGCACTGACTGTCTCTTTCAAGTCTTATTGCGCTTGAATGGTCAGATAGATGCACAATAATGCCAAAATGTCCATCGTGTGGAGTATTCACGTAAACACAGTTGGTTATGTCTTAAATTAACGTAAACAGTTGGATGAAAACCGGATGTGTGTCAGTAAATTGGATCTGTGCATTCAGTCTTAAAGGGTTAGTTCACCCAAAAATGAAAATTATGTCATTAATGACTCACCCTCACGTCGTTCATCTTCGGAACACAGTTTAAGATATTTTAGATTTAGTCCGAGAGCTTTCTGTCCCTCCGTTGAAAATGTATGTACGGTATACTGTCCTTGTCCAGAAAGGAAATAAAGACATCATCAAAGTAGTCCATGTGACATCAGTGGGTTAGTTAGAATGTTTTGAAGCATCGAAAATACATTTGGGTCCAAAAATAACATTAACTACGACTTTATTCAGCATTGATTAATGCAGCAAAGTCGGTTTTAAAGGTGAACTAAGTAACTTTTTTACCTTAACAGAACAGCTTTGGAGTCATTGTAATGTTTATATTACTGATTTCGTGTTGAATGGTGGTCGTCTCGCACCCCCCTGGTGCCTGTGAGCCGCAAAACCAGCCTTGCAACTTTGGGCCGGGGGGCTAGGAAGTATCGTGTGATATCAGGTCTCTCGAGGTAACGAATTGCTTTACGGAAAAAAAACAGATCTGATAAAATTCTGATAAAATGAGCATCAAACAGAAATAACCCGGCGCCGTATACATGTGGTGTTCGAGGCGCAGACTGCCGACAGTTAAACAGGGCGCGCAGCTCTTAAAGGGGCCATACCTTATTTCCACTCGTTACAGCGTCCATCCTACTGAACAGGTAGTGATCACTGATTAGTGTGTAATTATAATAATTAGTGTGTGTCTGATGGGTCCAGACCCTACATGAGGGTGAGTCATTAATGACATACTTTTCATTTTTGGGTGAACTAACCCTTTAAAGGGAATGTAAGACTGGAAGAACTGGTTGATGGAATCAACCTCACCAAAGGTCGACAAAGGACCTTGCTTGCACATTAACATTTGAACATCTCACACACACACACACACACACACACACACACACACACCCCGCTCCCCCCTACCTCTGAGCACCGTATCTACATTTTCTCTCTCTCTCAGTCAGTAACACTAAAAACTCACACAAGAATATGGTTTTAATGTGAATGTGATTATCTTTAAGGATTGTTTAGTATCATTTTAAAGGTCTCAGGGTGATTGGTACAAATGTCTCATTCCCAAAGAAGTAAATCAAAAGGTAATAAAGTTCTTAAAAATATAGAAATATCTTGCTCACAGAAGGGTGTCTTTGAGTTAACACCTTCTGATCATTTGTCTGAATGCTAATTTTCACTGTTCCTAGCAAATGGTCAAACTTCTATCCTCAGTAAGTCTGTGGAGGGGACCACAGTACATTTCCACTAAACTCATGTTTTACATATCAAATAAGGTCTGGCTATATAAGGAAAATGCAACGAGAGCTCAAGGCTGTTTTTCTAGATTAGCCCGTGTTGTTGAGGGTCTCGCGACTCTCAGCTCACGTAGCCATACAATGTCGGGTAAAGGATTTTCCTCTTTGTTCTAGAACACTCGATGGTTTGCATTGATTATCTTTCAATTGATTATGGAATTGTAATAATACATTTACCTGACATAATAAATTGTTATATTTGATTATTCTAACAGACTTTGACTTTATTTTCATTGGAGTTAAAAGGAATAGTCAAACATTAACGTATATTTATGTCACGGCCGGTTGAAGTGAACAAGAGAGTAGGATCCATTTGCAGTATTTATTAAACATACAAACTCTATCTACAGAAACGTGAACTCAGGAACAAGAAACAAGGTCAGGACAGAACAACCAGCTCACAAACATTAAGCACTCACAAAGACTACACAAGACACACAGGCTTAAATAAGCTAACATGATAACGAGAGGGTGTGGTCAATGGGAAACACCTGGGAAGAGTATTAACACGCAGGGAACAATTAACCAAGAACTTTACAAAACCACAAGACTAAACACATGACCACTAAACATGAACCCAAATACAGAAACACAGAACTAAACACGTGACAGAATCCCCCCTCTATGGAGCGGATACCAGACGCTCCACAAACATAAGTCCCGGGTGGTGGTGACACAGAGGGAGTCCAAGAGGGAGGTGGGAGGGACAAGACAATGAAATAAACTCTGCCTGCAACCAGGGTGGGGCAGGCAATTCAGGAACAAACTCAGTGGCGCCCTCTACCACCTGTTCCGGTGGAAGTCTGAGAGTGACCTCCATGACGTGCTCCAAGACCGACTCTCGAGCAGCCTCTACGGCGTGCTCGGGAACAAACCCGCGAGCGACCTCCACGGTGTGCTCGAGAACAGACTCGGCCTCGCTCTCCGCAACGAATCCAGGGACGGCCTCCTCCTCCGCGCTCCCAGGTACTGCTTCCTCCGCCGTGATCTCAAGAACAGCTTTCTCTGCCGCGATCACAGGGACAACCTCCTCCGCGGCGATCTCGGAGACAGGTTCCTCCGCCGTGATCTCAGGAACAGCCTCCTCCCCCTCGATCTCGGGAACACCTTCCTCCGCCGTGATCTCAGGAACAGCCTCCTCCCCCTCGATCTCGGGAACACCTTCCTCCGCCGCGATCTCAGGGACAGCCTCCTCCCCCTCGATCTCGGGAACACCTTCCTCCGCCGCGATCTCCGGAACAGCTTCCTCTACCGCGATCTCAGGGACAGCCTGCTCCACCGCGATCTCAGGGACAGCCTCCACCGCGATCTCAGGGACAGCCTGCTCCACCGCGATCTCAGGGACAGCCTGCTCCACCGCGATCTCAGGGACAGCCTGCTCCACCGCGATCTCAGGGACAGCCTGCTCCACCGCGATCTCAGGGACAGCCTCCTCCACCGTGATCTCAGGGACAGCCTCCACCGCGATCTCAGGGACAGCCTCCTCCACCGCGATCACCGGGACAGCCTCCTCCACCGCGATCTCAGGGACAGCCTCCTCCACCGTGATCTCAGGGACAGCCTCCACCGCGATCTCAGGGACAGCCTCCTCCACCGCGATCACCGGGACAGCCTCCTCCACCGCGATCACCGGGACAGCCTCCTCCGCCGCGATCACCGGGACAGCCTCCTCCGCCGCGATCACCGGGACAGCTTCCTCCGCCGCGATCACCGCTTTTGGGAATAAAGTGAGCTTGTGGGGCTCCCCTTGAACCGAACCCACATTGAATGGTGAGTTGGTTATGAAAAGGGCAAAGCCAACATACTGTGCCAGTGTGTATTGCGGGGTATCAAACGGCATAAGTGAATAAAGGAACTTGTCGATTCCCCGACCAAACATGTCCTTCAAAGCAGCGTCCTCAATATCCACCTCCTGGCAAAATTCACAAAACTCCCGCACATACTCAACCATCGGACGATTCTCCTGGTGGGAGCAAAAAACTGCTGGATCCTTTGTCTGGTGAGTGCTTCTGTCACGGCCGGTTGAAGTGAACAAGAGAGTAGGATCCATTTGCAGTATTTATTAAACATACAAACTCTATCTACAGAAACGTGAACTCAGGAACAAGAAACAAGGTCAGGACAGAACAACCAGCTCACAAACATTAAGCACTCACAAAGACTACACAAGACACACAGGCTTAAATAAGCTAACATGATAACGAGAGGGTGTGGTCAATGGGAAACACCTGGGAAGAGTATTAACACGCAGGGAACAATTAACCAAGAACTTTACAAAACCACAAGACTAAACACATGACCACTAAACATGAACCCAAATACAGAAACACAGAACTAAACACGTGACAATTTAATGATGCACAGATATCATTGAAAAACCTTTTCATTTAATGGAGTCAGATGAAACGAGTTAATACATAAGATAAAATGTATTGCATTTAATTAAAAATCACCTTCACCTCTAATCGAGTACCGCCATTGGATCGAATTAGACGGCCTTACAGGGACATCGGATGCAAAATTCACTTTTACATGGTGTTTGCATAAATGTGTCTTTGCAGTAGGGCTGCACAATTACGATTACGGATGTAGTTTGTAATTTTTTGTATTTTTAATAAGAAAAGTAAAATCAAATAAAAATAACTATATTGCGATATAGTTACCGTGAAATGAAATATCTCATACCGTGAAAGAAATTGTATTTTCTGTTGAATAACTTATTTCACTTAGAAGTGTGGAGTAAAATGAGATGTGAACAGCATTTTAACATCGACTTCAACGACAGTTTTGACTAGACCCAACATGAAATCCACAAGTTCATACAAAACCTGATGATCATGTTTGAGATCAGCATAATTGACATGATCAGCATGATATGAGGAGGACACCTGACCTTTTATACACAGAAGTTCTCATGAACAATGTCACAAATTTGCTTTTTTCGAATAATCTCAAATCGAATCTAAAACATTTTGAAATGGTCCAAAAAATATTTTCCACTTCATTTTTCTGAGTCAGGGTGGTCTTTGATGCCGGCTGAATGTGGACACAAACACATGCTTTTCCCTCCATCTCTTCATCTTAAAGCCTTTCCTAAGACCGTCCCACAATTGAGCTGGCAGTTCCTCCTCTTCAACAGGCTCCGCCCCTTCTCATCTTCCCTCCACTCTGTTATTGGTTCTTGCCTGTCCTTCTCACTCACACCCTCCATGCTTGCAGTTCTTTTCTTTCAAACTCTTGCACTTTTCTTTCTAAGTACACACTTCTCTCCAGTCTCTCAGCGTAGAGGATCTTCGTCACAGGAAGGGTTGGACTGAATCCCTTTATTTTGATGTGAGTATGCGGTCTGTTATTCTTCTGAATGTGGGTGTGGGTTTTCTCAGACCATGTGAGCCCAAGTGTGTGAGAGGGGGAGCAGCAGTGTTTGGTCTGGCTGTATTCCTAGCACACGTGGAAAGATTGCTGCAGTTCTCGGTATCAAGGATCAGTTGCTCATTTTAAATGCACATCTGGCTGCGTTTCAGAGACCATTTCTAATAAAAATAATTTGTTGACAGTTGACAGACAAACTAAACTGAGATTGTTGTAGTGTGTGACTGTGTGCATGCAAATGGTAAAGCAAGCTAAAGTCCTAATCCAAAAGTTAAAAGGTTTTAATTTTAGATAAGCATCACTATTCTTGTTGCTCATACTTGAACAAACCACTAACCCTAATTTTGGCTAGAAATGGGTTGCTCATAGCCGGACTATATCAGGTAGACGGTGAAATGACGCTATTGCTTGCTGAGGTCTGTTGAGGAGAAGTGTGCTATTACGTTACTTGGGGATCTTTCCCATAGATAAAATCTTTTAATTTTGTTTGATCTGTAACCTTCTAGTGAAGCAAACAATTGCAACCCCTCACACAACGTCCTAGCATTTTTATAAGCAAGTCCCACTCACGTTTTCTTCGTAAAACAATAGTTGCCTCTATTATCATTATTACAGTAGTCAACATTTAAAGTGGATCAAAACCTTTCATCAAAGTTATACATACCCGTTCTTGTCTTAGGACAACTTTGATGAACTTTTTTGATCCACTTCAAATGTTGACTACTGTATTACGATTGAAGAGAGCACACGTCACTCCTCTCCTCACAAAATAGCACCGGTTGCCATTTGCCGCTCGCATTAAATTCAAGTCATTGACTTTTGCCTATATAACAACCACCGGCTCTGCTCCCTTTTACCTAAACTCATTACTTTAGACTTACGTGCCATCCAGAAGCTTGCGCTCTGCAAGTGAACGCCGTCTTGTGGTGCCATCTCAAAGAGGCACAAAATCTCTTTCTCTGACCTTTTTCTGGTTTGTTCGCTGCTGTGACCTGCCTAACTCAACCAGAGCTGTCCGTGACCATTTTCAAGAAACGGCTGAAGACGCATCTTTTTCGGCAACATCCATTAATACTAACACTTTCTATTCTATTCTATATCTATTTATATTAAAAAAGTACATGTACTGCATTAGATTAAACTGGGAAGGGTCATAGCACGTGCATATTGTTGTCCTATTGTTAGTTTAACTGCTTCTATTGTTCTCATTTGTAAGTCGCTTTGGATAAAAGCGCCTGCTAAATGAATAAATGTAATGTAAATGCATTAATGATGTTACCTATATGTTGTCCTTCGCAGTTACTGCCCACAGCGGAGTGTTTCTTGTCAAACGTTCATCTGTGTCTGGTGTGTCCGGTGTGGCGCCCCCTCCAGGCATGACTCAGAGTAACGGGGAGACGCGTCTGCAGCGCAGCAGAGTACAGCAGCTGCGGGACGGCATCAATGAGCGCTCGCTGCGGGCCCGCAACACCGTGCAGAACATCACCACGAATGACGTCAAAGGCTTCTTCATGCGGAATGCCTTCGTCATCCTCACAGTCGTGGCCGTCATCATTGGTGAGAAGATGTTTGGTTTTGTGCCTACTCTGAAAGGGATCTTAAAATACAATATTATAATTGAATGAATAAATAAAAAGTCAATTAAAGTTCATTAAAAAATCACTAAAACTAAAATACTAAAAATACCTAGCCTGGATGCCAGGCCGAACCCGGCCCACAACATTTTTTGGTTGGGAAGTTCGGTCTGGACTCGATCCATTGAGGAGTAATTATGATCGGTTCAGAATTAGTCGGGCCAATCAAATTGCCAGGGCGGGCTTTATTCGATGATGGACAGATGATCTGCAGTTACGTAATCATCACGTTATCAAAGAGCGCTTGGGTTGAACTGGTTTCCCTCAGAGATGACTGCAGCTGGAGAATTGAGATGTATAGATTCAGCCATCGCGTCTGTTGTAAAAGAAATCGACAGCGCATTCATTTTAAAAGACGAACAGAGAACTGCAATCAAGGCATTTGTCGATCGGAAAGATGTGTTTGCCGTCCTTACTACGGGATTCAGCAAAAGTCTATTTTATCAGCTGGCTCCGATGGTCGCTAAGAAGACGGGACGCAATGAAAGCCCTTTGGTCGCACTCATGGAGGACCAAGTAAAAGAAGCAACACTCATTATTTTACTACTTCTTCCAGTGTGCGTGCAGTTGAGTTCTGTTGAAACTATGCTATGCAACTTTGTAGCTGACTTACTGCATTGCTCTGATTGGTTGTAGGTCTATCCAATTGAGTGCAGAGTTTGTTTTATTTCTGGTTCGGTTAAGACACGCCTCATAATCAAAGCCCTATGGAGCAGTATCAGACTCACATTCTGACTTGAATATGAGTATGACGAAGTCAGGCTAAAAAGTACCCTCTTTGATCACCAAAATTACATATTTAAACGTTTTTTTGCTTGTAATTTTTTTTCAGGCCTTAAAATAGCTTGAATGTAACTCTACACCCTTGCCTCATTTAGTATACGCGGTTCTATGATTATGCAAATGAGCCCCGCCTCCACTCATTTACAGCAGCTCAGAGATCCACTCGTTGACGATCACACGTTGTCGTGATTGGTTACAAGGTAGTTTGTGACATCAGAAACACCAGCGATTTCAAAATGTGTTTTTGAGACTGTCTTTGGTTCACTGCAGTTTTGAATAGAAAATACTCAGCAATGGTGTTGACTTATTAATTTGTGGTTTGTCTTAAAGCATATTAAACACACCACATAGACATTTTAACAATATTAAAAGCTTGATTTTCACCACAGGGGCACTTTTAAATATAAAAGTAAAGATTTAATATGATGTGGGGTAACATACAATATTATAATTGAATAAAATAAATAAGTAAATAAATAAAACAATTGAATATAATAGTAAAAATTAAATAAAAATACTAAATATGGAGTACTACATCTTAAACATGAAAGTAAAAATGTGTGTCTGTGTATATATATATATATATGTGTGTGTGTGTATGAGTGTATATATATATAAAACATTTTTTAACAGAAAATATGCCTCTGTAGGTTTTGAAAATTATACTAGGTGGAATGACCATTTCTGTTAATCAGCCAATCAGGAACTGCTATTAATCTCAAAATGGCTTGATATTTGCTGATTAATTGGCTTAAAAAACAGCTTAATATTTCAGGTAACATATTTAATGTAATTCAGGAACATTTAGCAAAAATATTATGTTATTTCATCAAATATTCGACATCTTATACATTCGATTTCAGTAAATCTATATTTTTCAGTATTCTTAGAGATTTGATGTCATAACAGAACAGAACACATAACCTCACCCATGTCATGATACTAAAATAATAATATAAAATAGTACTATTTAAGACGACGTAAACCGTTTTTTTCCCTATTTGTGACATATATCTGAGTGAAACGGCTTCTCAAACAAGAACAAATGTAGGGCAAGACTTGTTATTGTCCATGTGGAATTTGATTGGATATATATATATGTAATATATGGACATATGGATATGATAGCCACACAATGGTTTGCTATTGGTGGATCTCATATGAGTGACAGGTTGCCCCGCCCTCACGCCAGTGAACGCGTCATCAGAGAAGAGAAGAGATGACGCTGCAAGAGGGAGAGGAAGTTATTTTGATTAAAGATAACGAGGCACATGAATTTAAAAAAAAATATGTGCATGGATACTATTCCAAAAAAAAGAAGAATTGCCCATTTTGATTTCATGGTGACTTTAAAGAATTCCAATAAGGGAAACTTAAATGGAATTTCTATCATTATTTGGAACCAATATGATCCAACTGAATAAACTGAAAATCTATTTTTGTTGGATCTTTTTTGTTGGATCCCATTAGGATTGGTTCCAAATTGGAATATAAAGCAGTGGAACAATTTCACAATCGTGACATTTTTTTTTCTCTTTTATATATAAAACACTCCAGCTTAAACGTTTATGTAAAAAAATTTTTTTACAGACCATTAAAGCTGCATATGTGTTTCTCTCACAGGTACAATTCTGGGATTTGGAATGCGGCCGTATAAAATGACATATAGAGAGGTGAAGTACTTCTCCTTTCCCGGAGAGCTGCTGATGAGAATGCTGCAGATGCTGGTGCTCCCTCTGCTGGTGTCCAGTTTAATTACAGGTACGGTTCTTCCACTGCGGCGCCACCAGGCACTGACCAGACACGGGCAACTCTGCCAGCTAAACCCAGAACAACATGAGCCTGACATAAGCACATGATGCAGGGGAAGGGGACGGGCCGAATGTGATCTGGTCAAGCTCAAAGTGGCGACTGATTGATTTGTTATGTCTCACCCTTTGTTATGTCACTCGGGGAGCTAAAGCAATTCAATCTGTTTCTGCAGTTATAAATATATTTGTAAATCGATTTTATAGTCAACAAAACTGTATATACTTATTGAAATAATAGTTTCAGAAGGATTCAGTTTAGTTTTGAAGATCTTCAAAAATGCTGATCCAACTTCTACACTGCTAAAAATAATATCTTATTTAGTATTTTTTGTCTTGTTTTGTTTTGTTTTGTGTTCATTACAAATAACTAGAAATTCTTAAAGGTTAACAGGTTAAAGGTTAACCCCGTGAAGGTTAAAGGGTTAGTTCACCCAAAAATGAAAAGTATGTCATTAATGACTCACCCTCATGTCGTTCCAAGCCCGTAAGACCTCCGTTCATCTTCGGAACACAGTTTGAGATATTTTAGATTTAGTCAGAGAGCTTTCTGTCCCTCCATTGAAAATGTATGTACGGTAT